AAATAAGCAATCCTTTTTGTAGATAACCCATAAATTCTGAAGTTGTATCGGACCCCTGGTCTAAATGCATCTAGGAAAAAAAGTTAACAGATCTTCAATAACACAGAATGACAATCTCTTTAAGTTTGAAAAGGAAAAGAAGAAAAAATAAGTGTATTCCCTTAATAATTTTCTTCTAGGATTTTCGCATTTCATCTCCACCACCTTCCCTCCTTCCGTGAAGCCCGGGCATCCTCCATGTTGCAAACACCTGACCACACTGTCTCGAGCCCAGCAGAGCCTGCAGGGATTGGCCTCTATCGTGTTCCCTCAAGCAGGAGCTCTCAAACATGCCCTCACCCATGTTTATGGAACTGGGTGCAGAATCAGACCAGACAGATAAAACCATTTCAAACCCTCCCTTGACTCCAAATCCCACTCCAGTTACTTGCCTTCTCTTTTCCCGTTAAAGCCCGGGGTCTTGAAAGCTATGCTTCCCGCTTCCTCATTTCCCCTCACACCTGCGCCCCTGCAGTCCACCTCCAAAACCCACTAGGCCACCGAAACCAGGTAATTCCCACACCTTTCCTGGAGCCCAGCAGATGGCGCCACGCTCCCTTCCAACTCAAGCCGCAAATCCGGCCATCTTTGACTTTGCAATCTTCAAGTTACAAATCCAGTGTGGAAGGTGAGGGACACATGTTCTACTGAAACTAAAGAAGTTGAAGATTGACTCCTATCGACTTCATGTCCTAACATTTCCCAAATCCATGCACTTCTCTGCTTTTGCAAAAGCTTTCTGGACAACTGTTACAAAGTCCCTGTGCTGTTCATCTGAGACCACCAGTTCAGAGGAACGAGTTCATGAAAACCATGAATGCTGATCACAGCCTCAGGTCTAGATATTCTCTGAAAAAGTAGATTCAAAGTTTAAATATCAAATCACATTCTTGTAAAATGTGAACTCCTAGCCCCCATGTTGGAGTTGGCGTTTCGAAATTATTAGCTTAGCACAGTTAAAGCATCTATGAGTTCATCCGGAAATCCTAGTTGAACTTGCCACAGGCTGGATGCAGCAAGACAGAGATAGGAAGGTTCTTCTTACCTGAGCTAATGACTGTACTTGTAGTATTGGGACCTAGGTTCTTCCACTGGAAGTCACAGAGGGGGTTCTGGGGACGGTCACACCACTCTACAACATAGCCCATGACATCTCCAGACTGGGGTTTCCAGGACATAGAAAATCCATCCTCTGTGCCTTTGATTCTTTCTTCTTCAACCTCTTCTATACATAAAAAATAGAGCAATGCTTCAGATTTAATTAATTGTAAAGTTTTTTAAGTGTCTAAGGAAGAAAATAAACATACATACACACTGTATCTAGCAGGTAAGAGCCCCTCCACTTCAATGGCTACAGGAGCTTGGCCGGGGATGTTTTCCTGCCTCGCACTCCCCAGCAAATAGTCACACCTGACTTTCAGATGGCCCTCACCTTGACCTTCTGAGACCCAACCAGACTTCAGCAACTAGAACAGGGGTCAGCAAACTACCAATAGCAGGACAATTCCAGTCTCTGAGGCTTGAGCTAAGAATGGTTTCAAGACTTTTTTAACGGTTATAAAAAACAAATAAACCAACAAAGAAGAATACAGACTATATAACAGAAACGGTGTGACCTACAAAGCCTAACATTTTCCTACCTGTCCCTTTACCAAAAAGATTGCTGACCCCCGACCTAGAACTATGTCTGGTACTTGATCTGCTTTCAAAAATACACCTGTTGAATGGATGACTAATGCACCTTAATTTGCCTACAATAATGTCAGCTGTCCCTGAACTTACTACTGCTTCTGAGACGTTAGGAGTGGGAATTGAGTTGAGTAAAAAAGAAGGAAAAAAAAAAGCATGTACACACTAAGTTGGATTACAGGAAGAGGTGCACACAGTTTATGACTCAGGCTGCCACTCAACATAGTTTATATGCCAGGGTAGTTTTCCTAATGTCTGATAATTGGAAGAAGGGTGACGTGGCCTCCAGGGACGACCAGTTCTACCACAAGGGAGTTTCTCTTGTTTCCACAGACTTACACTAAGAACTGGTTTGTGTATCTGCAATTCAAGTTTAGCTGGGCATCCTCTATTTTATCTGGCAGTCCTGGTTACAACTGAGCATTGGTGTGAAAGCATGGTGCTATTCATTTTTCTAGGGCATAAAATTATTATCTGGCTAGGGGCACCCAAAGAGGAATTTGTAGCCCTAAGTATAAGGTAAAAGCCCAAGAAGACTTCATATAGCCCACCTATATGGCTTCCCTGCCTTCCTCCAGCACAGAAACAAATCTCCCTTACATTGAGGTGGATGTTTTCCACTTCACTTATTCATATTGACTAAAAATTAAATCCAAACCAAGTTTATCACTCTTAGCATGCTGCTGCTTTAAAATTGCAAATATGTTTTGAGGGATGGAGGCAGAGGAAAGAGTAAGGGAATCTTTTTTCAGCCATTCACATCCTAGTGTGAATTGGCTTAACCTTATTGTTTTTTTTTTTTCCCCCATGGCTTATGAATGACTTTCTACACACCAATGATTTAGGAACAAGGACCGCTGAAGGAAAGCTGGATGGAGCATCACATGGCAAGGTCTGGGGTTCTGAAGGCAGGGTAGGGGATGGAATGTATGGTAGGAACCCACAGACAGAGAAGACCCCAAGCAGCTAAGAGCACTGAGCAGTGGTACTCTGGCCTGGCCCCATGGAAGGCAATCTTTCTTTTACCTACCGGCTCGCCCAGGCCCAGTGAAATGCCCACTTTTCCTGTTCTGGTCCGAAAGATGTCAGACTACATCTTCTTTCTTTACTATAGTTCTTCACAAAGCAAAGGTTAAATAACTCCTAAACCAACTCCTAGAGTTTTTCTTCTGTGACACAATACTAATTTCTTTCCCTTATCTGACACATATTGAATAATTCTTTTAAAAGAATAAATGAAACAAACGCCACCTTCTAATACAGCTCACTTAACCCAAATTTAAGCTGAACTTGAATAATAGGTACAATACAACCTGCCATAATCTCCTAAGCAGGGCCTGGAAAATTTAATAGCGGGAACTGATGGTGACATTATTGCAAGGTTCATGGGTGACCTTAGGATGTCGATTGCTGATTGTATTATGCCCACGTGTGCATCCTTTCATAGCGTGTGGCTGTGGGAGGGTTACTCTTTTTACGGCTAAGAAGGAAATTAGTATCACGTTGATTTTGCGTGTAAGGTCATTTCCACCTTGTTTGCTCTTTCACAGGCTAAGGGATTAGGCGGTTACTATCTTTTATTCTACAAAGTTGGCACAAGCCTTGGTAAAAGATTGTGCCAATTCTTCTTATGATCTCTGGAACTTTCATGGGCTCTTTCTAGGTGACAAAGACTGACAATATTTTTTACAACATAGTAAATGCAACTCATATCTCACAAGCCACAAAGCACTTACATACTAACTCTCTCAGTGAGGCCTGGTTACATTCACTTGAATAAATTTGAGATAATTTCCCAAGTATGTTGAAGAACCCCCAGGACAGACATGTTCTGACCCATGGCTGAAATCTCCTTTTTCCCACTGGGGGAGACTGTCCTACAGAGACATGTTGCCACACTTGGCCCCAAAGAAAATGACAAACTGGTGGCTAGACATTTTATCTTCTTTTATCTTCTTGTCTTCTCCATTTATCCATCACTAGTTAACAGCATCATCAACATTTTCCTAGAGAATGAAAACAAGCAAAATGAAAAAGAAACTCACTGTTTCCAGGGTCTGCAGACACAACCATTACAGCGGCGGGAGAGGTGCCCGCGCTGTTACTGGCTGTGACGCGGATTCGGTAAGAACACTGGTCCAGGGTTAGCTCTGTGCCGTTGGCCGGCGCAGGAATGGAGTGGTGCTCTAACCTGGACGGTTTGTCCAGGTTTTCTACAACGACATTATAGAACCGGATCTTCCCATTGGCATGAAATTTTGATAGTGGCTGAAAAAATAGTGGTAATCATTTCAAAATGGGTTTTACTTTGAACGGGGTTTGTATAATTACTTTTTCATGTTTTCTGTCCCTTAACTGCCTTACACACACACACACACACACACACACACACACACATAGGCAAATTCAAACAGTTTAATAGAGAAAATAACCATCTTAACCAAGCCTGAAATCAGACATTCTAATCTAACTGAAGCTGAGCAGAGAAGAGGGTCTTATGGGGACGAGCTCCTCACGAGCACAGTGTGTCCAGAGAAGAGTGATCGAGTCAGGAGCCAAGAGGAAGAGCGACTCTTTAACCTGCGGAATAAAAAGACTAGCCGAGGCGAGGAGACCCAGGAGGAGAAACAGCAGCACCCTGGGGCCCTACAGGAGAGGCCTGGGCCTGGCCTTACCCCCTCCTCCAGTTCTGTTGTCCCCACGCGGCTGCTCCCACAACCCAGAGCCCTCTTCTAGACAATTCTCCAGGTTGCAAAGCATTTCCTGTCCACACAGTCCCAAATCCACTTCCGGGGTCAGTTCCCTGGGCCTCCCCTCCCGAGGACACACCGTGCCCCTGGGGCAGGTAGCCCTAGACCTGAAAGTGGGCTGGGAGCCGCTGTCTGCTTGGGGTGTGGGCAGAACCTGGACGGGGACTGGCACGTGCACACGCGTGTACACGGAGGTCCTTGTGGAGTGTGTCAAACTGCAGGTGGGAGGAAAAGTGGGGCAGGCTGTGGCCAGCGCCGACATTCCCAGCATCGCCGTGCTTTGGTATGAGACCCTGAAGAATCTGAGAGTTCCAAATACAAACCTGGCCTTCCAGGTTGTCATGAAGGTATGTTAGGTAAGAAAGAAGGATAAAATTTATTTTATATGACAGGTTTTTAGCTGATTCATAACTTTTAAATATAAATAGTATGAATGTTTAAATATTCCTAACGTTTAAGTATGGTATGTGGTTGTGCCTCATACCTTTATATCTACTTCTACCTTTGCCCAGGGCCCTGCAAAAGTGAGAGGTGGCCTGAGCCGAAGTCTCAGAGAAGGAGGCTGTGACAGGCAGAGCTGCCGTGAGCAGCATGGGCTGCCAGGAAGCAGAGTGGGATTCCTCCGCTGGGTAAGGAATTCCGTGGATTAGAGTGAAGATCCCTCCCCGTGGGAGACTGCACTGGTCCACGGTTTCACAGCGAAAGACACGGCGGACACAAATCGGACCTTTTGGATCTGCGCATCTTACCTTCCAGAATAAGGTCACATTATGACTTCCTGACTTCATGGTTCTCCAGACATCAGGAGCCTCTGAGGGAGCTGAAATGAACCAAAGAAAAGTCCTTGGTTCACAATGTGTATGTAGAGCAAAGCACTCGACCCTTTTCTAGGGCTGCCGGGAACACGAGGATGACCTGTCCTAGGCGTGTCTCTCCCCCTTCCACGCTCTGTGACTTCTACTGACTTGTCCAGAGCCACACTGCTCCTCCTCACTAGGTGCACACAGTAGGTGCTCTATAAAAAGGGTAGCTGCCTCCGAACAGGGCACTAAACTGAGAACCTTTATAAATGTCAAGCTTTAGAGCTTCTGGAAGCCACCAAAGAATTTTGGAATAATTTGCCAACCAGACCAATTCTAGGAGGTGAGTGAGGCGAGTTCCCCATTTTTTGACTTTCTAGGCAGCAGAGCATTGCTACTTCCGCAGCCCATCTGCAAAGGCTGCACCCGAGGCACAGTAATGTCCGTCTGTGATCTCCCAGGGCTGCCACCCTTGCTGGAGTCACAGCCTGGGAATGCCTCCTTGTCCCCTCCACTGGGAAAGCATCATGCCACTCTTCCCAGCTCCTGTCTGCGCCTGGGTGGCTGCCGCCTGTGGACTGTTCCTCTATCACGGCTGTCACCACGCTGTCGTAGAATAGCGTGCCTCCTCGTCTCTCCGTGGGGTCAGGGGCCTTGGCTCATCTGGCTATGAAACTCTAGCATCTAGCTCAGGGCCTGGCACTTCGTGAAAGCTCCACAAACCCACTTGAATAAATAAAAAGCAAACTAAGAAAGAACCCAGAAAACAACCTTTTTAAATATCCCAACCTTTTCTTGTCTCCATCCCTTGCTCGGAAATCGTTGCAAACTGATTGATTGATTTTGCATCTGAATCTGTCCTTGCTCAATCGACTCATCATGAGGAGGGGAGAGTCTTTCAATCCAAACCAACTCTCGGTACCTCTGTGTGAAACTGTTTAAGGGATCTCATTATACACAATAATAGCTGCTATTTACAGAGGGGCACTAGGTGCCAGCCCAGTTCCAAATGTTTTATGAATGATAACTCATAAATCTGCATAGCACCTCTATGGAGCAGGTACTATTATTTACACCCTTCTCTAAATAAGGAAACTAGGGCCCAGAGAGTAACTTAATGGCTCAAAATCACCCAGAAATAAGTAAAAGTGAAGCCAAGATTTGAACGCAAGGTGGTTAGCATCTCGGTCATTACATTATTCCCCTTTAGAAGATGGATGGTCAATTACAGGTTCGGCCTGTATGACAAATGCAACAAATTCTCATTTAAAAAAAAGTCTCAGTGATTGAAAAATAATAAAATCAATACAATTTCTTTCAAAATCTTAGAGAGGTGCATATTTTAATTATTGATTGTTAAAAATATTATGAAAGTCCTATTAAGATGGGTATGTATTTTTTAGTTTGTAAATTATTTTGTTGTATATTTGTGTAATACTCTGCATTCTACATGGAAACAAATTTTCTACCATGGGTTTTGTTACGCTATGACTGTCACAAGAATAGGACAATGAAAAAGCAGTCAAAAGAGATATTATAATTTCCTAAACCACAAGAAATATTAGGCTTTAATTGCTGAAGATATAGATGACATGATTTTAGTACACCCATGAAGACAAACAAGAAAATAAATCACAGATATTGACATCATTCTGCAACAAACTCTAATGGGATACCTCATTTTCAAATCTAGTCTTAAAAACATCCCCATCTCTCTATACAAACACAGTTTGTGAATGTGCTTAAATCCCATCTCAGCTTTCTGAATCTGAAAATAAAACTATAGCATCTCTCATATGATTTCTATTTTTTAATATAAATTCTCCATCCTAAAATGGTTTAAAAATTTCAGCTGCTACATGTGAAAATGCAAAACAGCAACTGTCATAAAATTGCCAAAATTTAACAAAATTAACAAAGCATTTCACCTTGTTTCGACTATTAAAAATTAGCTATTCTATGTACTTTTATTTTTTGTTTGTGAGAGGATATGTGATTTGTGTTTTGATTCAAAACATCTCTTTGAAAGAATAAATGTTTTGGAATATAAACAATTTTATGATTTATCTGTTCTATAAAAATATAATCTATTGTCCCCAATAGTTGACATTTAAGTTCTTTTCTCTTTTAGTTGCTGACGCTTTATACTCAAGTTAAAGGAGACCATATATCTTTTAAATCTATTAAAGCAAATTTCAATTTGCTAAATAAGCCATTGGCAAAGACAATATTGAATCAAAAACTTTATTGAAATACTCAGGCACAATATTGGACTCCAAATTCAATGCAAAATCTTCAGCTGGTTTGTAAATTACTACTTACAACAAATGAGTGCTGCAATACAGATGATAGCACTGTATATTTATATACAATATATTAAGAGTTTCTATCAGGATGTCATTTAACCCAATGTCCGCTCACTATGATTATATGTAAGTATGATTATAATACACAAAAACATTGAATTTCCCATCATTAGGCAAAGTGTCATCAGAGGTAAAACATATCTAAAAATTCACCATCAGTAGCTTCATCTCATTTTCTTGTCATTGTCAAATGCAAAGTTAAGTATTTTCAGATTTATTATACTATAATCTGAAAGAAATTATTCTTGTACCACTTTCCTTTTGCACATAATTTTACCTATTTTTATCTTTTTTTTTTTTTTTTTTGAGACAGAGTCTCACTCTGTCACCCCGAGTAGAGTGCCGTGGCATCAGCCTAGCTCACAGCAACCTCAAACTCCTGGGCTCAAGCAATCCTCCTGCCTCAGCCTCCTGGAGTGCTAGGATTATAGGCATGAGCCACCACAGGCATGGCCAATTTTACCTATTATGTTGAAATGAATTTGCAAAAAAACCCAAAGCAAGACAGATAGTATTATTAAAGATTCTTTAATAAAATACAGCTAAAGAATATGCCTCATTACTCTCAGGAACAAGGCCTTTTGCAGCAAAGAATCTTGAGGAGTCTGGGAAAAATTATTTGCATCTTGGTGGGCATGAGGGTGGGCAGAGACCTCCAGGGAAGGTGGAAGGTCTGCTGGGCTTGACTAATGAGCCGCAGGTGTGGATTCTGCGTAACCACCCTCACCAGCACCAAATCAGACTCACTGCTTTAAAATGGTCCTCCCAGAATGAAACAGAGAGAGTTCTGCCAGTCTCCACGCACACATAATAAGATGGAATGAAATACATACATATAATCCTTCCTTTGGCAGCAAAATAGCCAGGACTTGAATCAACAAGATCTCGAAGTTGTAATAACAACATCGAGACAGAGAGAACACACAGAATGGAGCTCCGGTTAAGGGTGGAGCTCTGGCGTCAGACTGAGGACACCTTTCCACTGACAGCACGCCCAAGAGCGCTCGCCGTGTGCTTTGGCTGGAACAAATGACTTACTAATAATGACTAAGGTGCCAAACATCATTCCATCTCCAAACACGGCCTGAAGTTGTTTAGTATGAGACCAATGCCTTTCCTTGGCATTAACACTTCTATTTGTCCCTAGTCCTGAACTAAATAAAGGCCTATGCTAATTTACATAGCCCCAGATCCAATGTGAATCCAGCAATAGCTTTAGAAACCATTTTGGGAAAGTGAAAGGTAGGAGAGGAACTGTGCAGTGGAAATAATATCCATGTCAAATGTTTGAGGTTGAGGTCTTCCTGCACACTTCTCATTAGGCATTTAATCTAATTTTTTAAGTGCTACTCCACTTCTGTTTTAATACTTTCCTCCCAGTTTTTGGTACAACCAAAGGCTCTCAGGGAAACCAAGGCTTAGAACATTGGGGTAAATGCCAGGCAGCTAAACATACCAGCTTCAGGTGTGGTGAAGTCTCCACCGCTCCATTCACTCCATTTCCAGAAGTGGTTGGCGTCAGCACAGCGGACTTGGGCTACATAGTCTGTGTTGGGCTGCAGTTCATTTAAAAGGTATTTGCCATTCACCTTGACAGAAACATTGTGCTGCTTGATCAAAAGAGAGAAAAAAGGAAAAAAGAAGACAAAAGTATTGGTGAGCATATCTCACTT